GTTACAAATTCCTCCGATCATGATTGTAACACGTCCCCCTTTTATCCCTTTCTAGCAATTGCCGTCCCCCCGCAGGATGACAGCTATTACAGCACGTAATAGGTTGGCAGTGGAAGCTTGCAGTAAGAACGAAGGAGAGCGGTAAGTTGGTATAGTATAATATACCATGTAGAATTTTAGGAAGTATCGTTTTATGATCTGTGGACCACAAGTAGCAGAGAGTCTCTGCCGTCCCCATCTCTGTTATGGGTACACAGTGTACATTTTAACCCAGACACTCAGTCTCGTGTTCTTTCTACATTATTATGCCCACAGACGATATGAACTTCGGCCAGAGACCATCGGCTAGAGGGCCACCTCCGGACTACCACCATCTGGTAGCGGCCGCATGTAAGAAGTCACAAGCATGCAAATGAGAACATTACATATGCATGACGCATGTCATTATCAGTGGTAATACAGTAGCACCATAGGACCACAGGTACAGACTTCACATGTGGTCCATCAACTGCACAACCTCTGATGAACAACGGTACACTCCTCATCCACTCCCATCCTAATTCTATTCAACCTTACTAATCCTTTTTCAGCATTTTCCTATTCATCCTTACGCATACCCGTTCATCCCAGCATTTTCCCATTCATCCTTACGCATACCCGTTCATCCCAGCATTTTCCCATTCATCCTTACGCATACCTGTTCATCCCAGCATTTTCCCCTTCATCCTTATTCATTCCTGTTCATCCTACCATTTTCCTATTCATCCTTACGCATACCCGTTCATCCCAGCATTTTCCTATTCATCCTTACGCATACCCGTTCATCCCAGCATTTTCCTATTCATCCTTACGCCTACCTGTTCATCCCAGCATTTTCCTATTCATCCTTACGCATACCTGTTCATTCTAGCATTTTCCTATTCATCCTCACCCATACCCGTTCATCCTAGCATTTTCCTATTCATCCTTACCCATACCCGTTCATCCTAGCCATTTTCCTATTCATCCTTACGCATACCCGTTCATCCCAGCATTTTCCTATTCATCCTTACGCATACCTGTTCATCCTAGCATTTTCCTATTCATCCTAACGCATACCCGTTCATCCCAGCATTTTCCCCTTCATCCTCATTCATTCCTGTTCATCCTAGCATTTTCCTATTCATCCTTACATATCCCCGTTCATAATATCATTTTCCCCTTCATCCTTACGCATGCCCGTTCATCCTAGCATTTCCCATTCATTCTTACATGCACCCGTTCATCCTAGCATTTCCCCATTCAAATTTCATCATATTCCATTATGTAATGTATCAAACTATACATAAAAATGAAAACAACATAACAGGGGTGTGATGTTTACAAATACTTTTATTCTAATAAGCAGCCATTCCACGTCAGACATGTGGTTGAACTGCCATGTATCTAAAGTTCTATAAAATCAGTTTTTAGTTAGCTTGCTGCCTTTGTTTTCTATGATCATGAATACTTTTCTGTTGTTAAGACGTAGCCGCCCTTTTATGCATTTATTACATTGTTCAGTAGGTTTAGGTTTATGATCTAGATCTTGCTTAAAAGCTTATTCCTGTCATTGTTTCCTATGATGATTACCACTTTTATGTAGTTAAGTTAACAGATTTTGAGCACTTTTAATGTATTCCTTAGACTGTCCAGTATGTTTAGCATTTTGTTTTTAGCTAGCTTGGTTTATTTCCGAGATGCCCCCTTTCTCAGCACTTCGCCTTTTACACTAGTACTCGGCCTTCCGTTTCGTTTCTACTTCCCTTCGGGCTTGGTTTTGGTGGGTTTCTCGAGTTTCTCTCTGCTGGAGCTCATTCCTACTCGGGAGCCGCGGCATAGACATCATACTTGGCTGAATGGGAAGGAAGAGGAGAAAATATGTAAGGCGTGAGGCGTATGCATAAATCATATCGGGTAAGGGAAAAGACCAGTACCCGTATACATGTAGGTACCCGTACGGTGTTTTCCAATAACCCATTGCCGCCCCCTAAGCAAGGACCTTGCGTTCGCCTTGGCATTGATCAAATCACGGCTTAATAATGTGTACAAATACAGAGGTCAATTTCTTTTGATTTGGTTGGAAAATACATGGGTTGAGTTTTATTTCCAGCTGAAAGGGACTTAGCGGATTATTTTTCTTTTTACGTACATCCAACAAGATCGTCTTGCGATGTACGTAAAAAAATCCGCCTAATTTTCTTGAGCATGCGGGTTGTTTTGATTAATAATTGATGAAGTTCTACTGAATACTCCGTGTACGTGGTGGCAGAAAATGACTATTATGAAAATTGTCTGGTTGGTTTCTTGTAAACATGTGTGCGTTTACCAGTCGGCGTAGAGATGCTCAGTCGGCCTGCAGTGCAAACTTATTGAAAGGTGGGATCCTAAGGTATTTCGCTAGGAGGCGCGATTCCTCGGTGCCTGTTGGATTGTTGCCGGCGACAATGGATTATTGGGAACACCGTATGGGTACCAATACGGGTACTGGTCTTTCCCCCTTCCCAATTATATCAGATCGTTCACACATCTATAGAAGGGCAATCGCACCTTTGTCACCTTGTCTTCTTCGCAAGAAATGCTACCAAAAGTCAATTTTACACCATTCCCTTTGGAAATGATCTCAGATCCCTTGGAAGACCCCTCGCAAAGCAACATTCTTGCTAATAAGGCCCAATTCATGCGCAGATTTTCGCTACAGTGGCGATATTTCCCGCTGTCAGAACATTGTTGTCGGGACGTCTTTATACACAACTGGGCCTAAAGGTATGGCATTGCAGTAATCTCCAAGCTGATCTCAGAAAACAATAACTCTATTCCGTGCATCTGATTGGACCTACCATATGGGCAGCTGGCCTGGTGTGCGAGAAGTTCCTGGGGGGGCATTATGTGCACAGCACTGAAGGCGCAGACCGCCAACTCTGGCCCTGTGTAGTTCTGGAAATGTAAGATTAAAAAGGACACATTGAAACGAACTAAATGTTATTCCGTTGCTCAAGATCATTGCTTAATATCCCCAGAATCGCCATAAGAGACCAAATATGATACATTGCCTTTACCAAGAATGTTATGTTATCGGGAGCGTTCGTGAGCCTGTTTGTCTGTCTGTAAATGATAACTCGAGAACGCTTAAATGGATTGTCTTGATATTTGGTAGGTGAGAGTTCGAAATTATAAGATTGGGCCCCATGCTTGGGCTCTGATGTAAGTCATAAAAGGTACTTGGTGTGGCATAAATGAAGTAATGGAAAGTACAACACAACACAACACAATACTACTTATTCACATTGCATTGGCAGCCGAGTTGGCAAAGTGTAACAATTTTCTTTATTCTCAAAGAAATTCGAACCATATGTCCAAAACAGATGTGTCATAAAAGAAATGACGAACCTTCCGGCACTTCCGGATGTGCTTGCCTAGGTTTCGGCTGTGGATAACATGATGGTGGTCATATGGACAGATGACCATCTGGTCGGCTCCTGAGATGAACCTCACGGTCCTAGACGCCATCCTATGCCTGTAGGTTGAAACAATAGATAACATTACTGACATGCATTTGGCCAAAATCGTCGGCCTCTTTAGAGACATACTCTTTTCCTGAACACACAAGTATCTTTTATAGAGAACATACACTTTTCCTGAACACACAATTACCTTTACACTTCATTTGTATGTATTTACTGTATAAACTAGAGATGTTCAACTTCATACCGTCGACATTCATTGTCTCATCTGTGGAGAGTATGTTGTTGTGATACAGGTGTGCCAATCAAACACATGCTGCGGTGCTGATGTACTGTCTCAATATTGTTAAAGGTTGTCTACAGAATCAAACTACACAAAGGCTATCTTGGTTTTATATCAGGGGTGGTGCGGGCCTGACTTCAAAGTCTGACACACCAACGATAACAACAAAACGAGAGAAATTAAGAGAATGTGGCGGTACGAGACCAACTCTGCTGGTGGTCTGGTGTCATGCTGGAGTTTAAAGATTATCAACTAACAGGAGTTCCAAGCAAGGAAACAACAAAGAAGGGAAACCAGAGGCTATACTTTCTCTGCCGTTTGCGCCAATTCAACCCGCCCATTGAAGATCTTCTTACTACATATACTTGTACATGTTTCGTCCGTCCTGTGTTGGAATATGCCGCACCTCTAGGGCACCCTGATCTGACCAAAGCACAGAGAAAGAGGAGCGAAAATATTCAAAGAATAGCCACCAGAATCACACTTGGCAAGGAGTTCATGAATTACAAGTCAGCACTGGAGGTGTTACAGCTACAGACACTCGAGGATCGTAGAGAAGCCCTTTGCAGACGATTTGCGAACAATGTACAAGCTTCTACCCTCTACCGGCACTGGCTGCCCCAAACCAGGAGTAGCGTCAGTGGGAGGATTACTAGACAAAGTACAAAACTTGACCAGTTGCCAGCGCGCACAGAGCGGTACAACAGAAGTACACTACCGTACCTTGTACCGTACATTTTAAATCATGAATAGACGGTGAAATGTATGATTTTAATGATATGATTTATGACTGTTTCTAATACATGTACACGGAATGACGACCAGGATTTCACTTCACTGTATAGCGTTTCTAATCACACAATTCAGCCTTAGAGGCTGCCAAGTGATGGCGCCGTTTTTGTACATAATTGTGAGTTGTTTGAAATAAACCAATGTAAGCAAGCTGCTAGGGGGCTTAAACCCTTGTCACTTCTTACCTAGACGAAGAGCTATCTATTATCCAAAAATGGTGACCCTATAATGTACAGATCAAAAGACACTTTGGAAGACATAACCTTGGCGAAGATAACAAGTCACTACTCAAAACGTTTCATTATCAGCAATGTATGGGGTTGGTTGGGAAAGATACTCTATTTACAATTCTGGGCAAAGCCCTCCACGGGGCATCACGCCCACTCTAGGCGGGGTGTGAAGCACGAATTGCTTGGATGGGATTAATTAGACTGGATGTGGCTGTGGTTTCATCTGTGCGTGCGACGGTGGTACTACGAGTGTGACCAGCCACGGTACCAGACTGGCTGCCATGCAGGCGCGATCAACTATGATGGCGTCCAGGCTAGCTTGGCAAACCTGTGTGGTTTTGTTGGTTATCTCCCTCTCACGTTCAACAAATGGTGCTCTCACAAATCTATCTCCAGAAACCCGGACTTTTGTGGCAAGGTGTATTCAAGACTTCGAAAGCACGGGAGAGGTCCAAGCTATGTTCGTTCGAAGATCCTGGATGGAAATAGCCATTTCCGATGGACCGCCGAAAACTGAACATTTCCTGATACCAACTGTGTTCCTCTGGCAGCCTATACGACCCTTGAACACCCGATTCCTATGCCCCACCTGCCACTGCCTTCTCACTGTTGTTAAAGCAAGTGAAGGTATTACAAAATTCGTAAAGTCTGGGAAGCAGAATAAGAGGTTTTCTATTCGTTCCATCTACACTGAAGAAGAAAGGGCTCTCATTATATCATGGGTGAGCATTCTCTAAATATACTATTTATTTTGAGTTGACGATAGGAATGAGTAAAAACATTAGAATTAGTCCATTCTGAGAATTTCGTAAGTCAAAATTTTGAAGACAGGCGATGTCAAACCTTGTGGCCTTTTGATTTCCTGTATACAGAATTTTCGGCGTTGCATATGATATAAATATCCAGTCGTAATGGATGTTACGCTGTGTCTGGACTCCATGTGTTTTCCGATATCTGTTAGCGTATAGAACGTAGAAGCTGGATAAATAACAATAAACTGCAAGTACACGAATATCTGGAAAATATATCTTTGTTGGGTTTCTTATTTTAAGTCAAAACGCGTTTTCTCATAATTTATTGATTGCACCTATACATTTATTTTTACCTGTTTTATTTCAGGGCTACAAATGTAAGAAAGGTCACATCATCTGTGGTACAAATCCGGTTCTACTGGAACAGGTGGCAGAATTTAGAGAAGTGCCGTTCGTACTGACGCACCAAGCTGCTACGACACATAAACTACTGTCATGGTTTAAATCATGTGTCAATCATGGAATGGAAGTCAGTACGTTTCGGTCCATCTGTGCTGAGCAGTACCACAGGCATTACTGCCTGAAACAACGAGAGTACTTCGTTTACCGTGAGCAATTCAATGGGTCCAGTTTTGACCTGAATGCGGTTATACAAAGTTTTCCAGATTTCAACGAGTCTTTACTTTCGGTACCAAGTAGGGCATTGCTACTGCAATTGTACTTGACAGACACAGAAAGAAACAAGAATGTGAGAGAGGAAACAATGAAGTTGCAGGAAATAGATTATATCACATGCGATCATACCTTCAAAGTTGCGTCAAAAATTGGTTTTTATCATCCCGTTACAAAGAAATTCATAAATCAATTTTCAACATTGTTTGTGATATTGAATAGTAAAGGCAAGATATTAGAGTACACTCTAGCACAGTCAACAAAATTCCATGAAGTTCGGCCCCTCTTCCAAGCTATAAAGCAACGATCTTCACGACCAATAAGCCAAATATTCATTGACAATTGCTGCAGTTGGAGACATATGCTAACAGATTTGTTTGGACCTCATGTCTCGGTGAAATTAGACTTGTTTCATGCTGTGCAACGGTTCACAACAACAATAAGAAAAGCATGCCCTATACGTAAGCTGTTGATAAATGAATTCAAAATGATTTTCCGAAAAGCGACTGATAAAGGTAAAGTAAGAAAAGAGCCAACACCCGAGAAACATGACTTGCTAAAAAACTGGGAAAGATTTTATGAACACTGGCACGAAAGGAAACTAAACGATCTGCCAGTATTCAGTTTAAAGACAACTCGCGCTTTGAAAAATCTGAGGTGTCACATCGCGGAAGGCTGTTTGTCAAATATACCTGTTGGAGCGGGCACTAATAAAAATGAAAAGTTGCACTCAAAACTGAATAAACACGGTATTATGCGTTCACCATGCATTGGACTACCACTAGCCGAAGCTGCCATTAGTAATGTGTTTCATGCTGTGAACAATCAACATCAGCTGAAAGGAGTTCGTTACAACCCTCCCTCCGTCTCAGAGAAGTGGCGACCGCATGAAGGCAACAATCCTAAAGGTAATTCAATGATACAATTTGTTTTCTATGCCATGATCCAGTAATGTGTGTATGAAAACTCGCTTATAAGCTACAGAGCTATGCCCATCATCTGTACAATTGTTGGAGGTATTCAGCTATTAGCCTCCGGTGCAGGTGCGTTTTCTATTTGTATGGCCTTTTAATTTTTTTGTTATATGACCGCTCTAGCTTTATTATCCGATACGCCCCTCCCATTCCTATTGTCCTCTTGCATTGTCGATTTTGTACGATTAATCATTAACTTTGAAATACATGATCTAACTTGCAGGACACGGTAGTGACACGGTAGACAGAAATCCCAGGACCAGTCATGTGCCCAGAAAGACAAGTCATATCACCACACCTGTACAAGGTACAGTAGATTGACTCTAATCTCCAAGCAGATCTTTTGGTGATGGGGGTAAGACAGTATCAAATTGGCCAGTCTGTAACCACGTGGGGAAATGGTTAGACTGGCCAATTTGATACTGTCTTACCCACACCAAAAGATCAAAAGACATGAAATTGGCCCGATCGCGGAGACACACCCGTATTTAAAGTGCAGCTCCGGTCCGCACGTTCCAGCTCCGGTCCGCACGAGAGCAAAACTTTTTAGCGGAGTACCCAATTTTAGGTCGTAGAGGGAGCGCCGCCAGAGCGCCGTCAAGTGGAATGGGGGTATGAGAAATACTCAGATAGCAAGCAGCAGGAAAAAACTACGAACAAACTGGTCAACCATAAAAGCGACGTAATGAGCAGATGTGACTTTAGTTCTGTGATGGCTTTTTATGAAACAAGACATTTGTGCAGCGGCCATTCCCTACGGTCCTGTCTAGTCCAAATTCCCCATCCCGATCAAATCTTATTGCAAGTCTCCTCGACCTCCCTACTTATCCGGTCGCAACGTGGTTGTAGGCCTCGAGAAACACTAAGCCATGTACTGATCTGTGTGTACGAGTCTTTTCCAGAACCAAATATTAAAGCGTATAACGTAAGAGACAAAATAAATGGACTTTTGATTTTCTGGAAAATTGTTGCCGAGTTTGGCGATGTACCACAACATGGCGACACACGGAGGGCAGGGGTGATGACGTCTCTTGAATACGCCCTACAGCCCTTACCTAAACATAATGCCTAAATTCAATCCGATGATAATTAGCCTAATAGTAAAAAAATGCAATTCTAAGTAATTGTATACTAATAACCATATATGTGTTTCAGACGGGACCCTGCAAGCGTCAACCAGCTCCATCATGCTTTTACCAGGCCAGACAGAAGACACACTTCTCAACAGAGGGGAAACCATGTTAAGAGAAATGCTGGAAGCAACTACTGGACCTACATCTAATCACACATACATGTATTTGGAAAGTGACAAGACTATGCAGCTGGAAACTGTCCAATTAGTCACAAATG